AAATCAAATATTACTTAATTGGAATTGTGATAAATACTGCAAAGGAAAAATTCAACGTGCACTTGTGAGCATATCGTAGGGAGGGGGACGAATATCCCAATTGCCATAATTCCTATGGTTACACTCTGAACCTTATGGCTACTTTTGGAAACTCAATTTCAAACATGCACTGTCTAACAAGTCATCCCATTTTTGTAACTCACTTGTTCTGGCAATACCACTGTAGCAAGTCTGACCTCAATGAGGTCTCAATACCATTGACCCCACCACCTTCTTGTTTTCTATCCCCCCCAACCACCCATTTTCACTTTCTTCCTCATCCACTTTAGATTCTATGGCCCATCATTATAAAAGTCTTTAAATATTTAAAATGCTTAAAATATAATTAATTTTAAAATAGAGAAAACAAGCACATTGTACGAAATTCAGAAGGTGCTAAAAGAAAGTTAAAAGAAAGCCTTCTCCGCCTTTCTGGGGTAATGTCATGTTCTACATTGTGATAGAGATTTGGGTTTTTCGAGTGTATGCATTTCTCAAAACTCAGCCCACGTACCCTTAAGATTTTTGCATCTCATTCAAAAGAAAAAATAGTAAACAAAACTTGAAATGTAATTAGTGATATTCATGCTGAAGAATTTAAGGGTAAGTGAAGTTATGTTTACAGTTTACTTTGAAATGTATCAAAAAATAAGATGGATTGACGGTTGCATTGCCAGGTTGGCAAAGCAAGTATAGTAAAATATTAATAACAGAATCTACGTTGTAGATATACTAGTGTTCTCTATCTAAAATCTTTTGGCCTGTCTATATGTTTGAAATTTTTCATAATTAAATGTTGGAGGAAATTTTTTTTTAAAACAGGCCTCCCTTCCTCCACAGACCCTCAAGTATCCATTCTTCCTTCTCAGAAACAAACACGGTTATGAGTTTCTTGTGAATCTCTAAGACATTCTGTGTGTATACAACCATTCATTCTTTTTTTCTCTCCCCACAAATGATGGCATACTACTTATACTCTGTAACATCTTTTTTTTCACTCAGCTGTATGATATAAATTACTGAAAAATATGTTTGTGCTTTTTTTTTTCACACTTTCTCATAGAAATTCAAACAATTACTGGCAGGCCCTAATGCATCCATTGCCTCCAGGATATTTGGGATTTTTACTTCCAAAATAGGCTCTTGATGTCCACTTTAAACACAATAGCTTTAAAGTCAACTTTTTTTTTGTTTTTTGGTGAGGAAGATTAGCGCTGAGCTAACATCTATTGCCAATCCTCCTTTATTTGCTGAGGGATATTGGCCCTGGGCTAACATCCGTGCCCATCTTCCCCTATTTTATATGGGCCACTGCCACAGCATGGCTTGATAAACAGTGCATCGGTCCACGCCCAGGATCCGAACCTGTGAACCCCGGGCCACTGCAGCAGAGTGTGCGAACCTAACTGCTATGCCACAGGGCTGGCTCCTAAAGTCAAATTTTTTGATTGGTAAGAAGCAAAAAACAAAATTTTTTGACATATAAAGATAGCATGTAAAGTTTAATCAATAAACTGTATATTGATCAGAGAATTGGTGAAAAACTAGGTGGAGTACCAAGGCTTTACAAGATTTTGGAGTGGAAGAGGGAGGAAGATGGTTACTGGGGCCTCCTAGACCTCTGGGTACTACAGGGAGGAAAAAAGAGTCTGCCTCAAAAGACTGGACCAATGCCTGGCACCAGGAAGACCACGGAGCCAACCCTAACTAGAAGAATCCAACTGTATCCCTATGTCAATTTCTATCCTTATTCCAAAACCAGAAGATTCTTCTTTGCTGTGCCAGGGAATGCCACACACTGCTGGTGCTGACGTGTATGTTAGTCATCTTTCTTGGGAGAGGGTATCTCTCCCAAGAAGGCAGCTGCCTTCTCCATATTGCCTATAAGCTAATCACCTGTACCTTAAGTCTGTGCTCAGCCCATGGAACTACTCTGTTTGGATGACCCCTCTTCCATGGCCCAAAACAATTTTAAGCTTCACTCCCACTTCCAGAAAGTGGGGTCCTGGACAAGATGGGTGACTGGGGGAGGGGGAGGTAAGGAAGTGAAAGCCCTAGAAGCAACTTGTAAAACCGAAGAGAACCATCCTAAGATTTCCACCCATGGGACCAGGTCAGGAGTGAAATTCCCACAGTCCAATTTATGGATATTACACAATCACTTTCTTGCAAATGTCTTCAACAACCGAGCCTCTTTTTCCCTCCATCATACACAAGTAATAAAATCACATCCTTGAATAAACACTTCTCTCTATCTTCTCCATGCCTACATTCGAGTAGCTGGACATTGCTGGAGAAAAGCGCAAAACCAAGTTGAGTGCTTTCTCTTTAAACTCATACACTCAGGGCCGGCCCTGTGGCTTAGTGGTTAAGTGCGCAAGCTCTGCTGCCGGCGGCCCTGGTTCGGATCCCAGGCATGCACTGATGTACCGCTTCTCCGGCCATGCTGAGGCCGTGTCCCACATACAGCAACTAGAAGGATGTGCAACTATGACGTACAACTATCTACTGGGGCTTTGGAGGAAAAAGTAAATAAATAAAATTATTTAAAACAAAAAACAACTCATACACTGGGACCTCCAATGGGCACTTAACACTACTCAATGATCCCATCATGTTTTTCTCTGCTGGGCTTGCTCTCCCACTCCATTCCCTAGTACACCTACTTCATTTTGTCACCTCTTACTCCCCTTCCCCCTCCTTAGTGGATTACCTCCATCCATACTTCAGTGCAAAAATAAATGGCATCTTTCTTTTCTTCCCCCACCAAATCTTGAAACTTCTGTCCCTCCATCTTTTCATTCTTTTCCCTTAGCGCACTATTGGCCAGGCCTCCCCTCCAGCCCAGTATCAGTACTTCTACTTGTATTTTGGATCCCATCTCAAGAACTTCCTTCTTTTAGCCATCCTCCCCGTCTTTTGTATCATCAGTTTTTTCCCTCTCTCCTATATAATTCCCATCAGCATAAAAAACATGTAGTGAAGCATCTTTCATCTTAAAAGAATCCCTCCTTTGACTCCCTTGTCAATTCTAATACTCACTACCTCATCTTACTTCTCAGCAACTTTCAATACAGTTTTCCATTCTCCCTTTCCTGAAACACTCTCCCTTTCCTAAATACTCTCCTCTCTTGGCCTCCATGACATCAAACTCTCCTGTGTGCTTGTTTCCTACCTCGTGGTTATGTCTCTCTCTCCACTACGTCTCCTCTACTTAACCCCTATGTTTGTAGTTCTTCTGGGCTCCATCTTGGACCCTCTTCTCTCCATATACAGTTTGTTCTTTAGTGATCTCATCAAGTTCCATGGTGTTAAATATCCTTTGTAATGCTGAGAACTTTCAAAAATATATTTCCAGCCTTGAACCTCTCTCCTGGACTCCTGACTCATATATCCAACCACCTGCTTGCCATTTCTACTTGGGATCTTGTAAACATCTCAGGTATAACATATGGACATTGTTGAACTTTGTCTGAGCCCTGTGCTCCCAGAAAACAGTGACGATTAATCCCCCAACCTTTTGTTTTCTGGAAATGGCTTACTACAAAGAACTACCCTTTTCTGTATAACTTAGATTGTCTACTCGTGGCTCGCGTAGGACTCACAGATGACTCCCTCATTTACCCAGGAGAAGGCCTGACACAGACCCTCCAAATTCCTATTCTTTGTCTCATCAACGATTAGCTGAACAGTTTGTCCCTCTGAAACTAGCTAGAGATGGAGATAAGCATTTCTTGTTCAGCTGACCGGCTGAGACTCCCCTGATTATAAAAACATTCTGAACTGTAAAATCAGCCCACCTATAATTTGTCTACTCTTCCAGGCAAAGCCTGAAGGCACTCTGATCTTTGGATCTGGGGTGTTCTCCCTATTGCAGTAGCCTGAATAAAATCGACTTCCTTATTTTTTTGGTGTTTTCACCTTTGACACTATGCAAAATAGAAGTTCTGATTCTCTTCTCTCTTTTTAACTGCCATTCCATGCTTTCCCTGTTCCACATCAGTTTCTCTATCACCTCTCAAAGGCTTCCTCACCCAATTTAAAGTGCCACCCTCCACCCAGTTGCTCAGGTCAAAAACCTGGGCATCACCCTTCGTTCCTCTTTTCCCTTTTTCCTTACAACAAATGAGCCAGCAAATCTTCTTGATTCTGTTTCCATCATCTTATTACAACCCAGGATAATTTCAGCAGGTCCCTGAAATTATACTTCTACAGTCCATTCTCTAAGCAGTAGATGTGGGTTGGAACAGGTGGAAGAATTAATGACCATCTGCTATGTTGTAAGGTTATCAAATGATACATTAGGGAGTGAGGGCCTAATTTGGGGGTGTTGAAAGATTATTTTTTCTAATAATGACTTTATTTATTTATTTTGTTTATTTTCTTTGTGAGGAAGATCAGCCCTGAGCTAACATCTGATGCCAATCCTCCCCTTTTTGCTGAAGAAGACTGGCCCTGAGCTAACATCCATGCCGATCTTCCTCTACATTTTTTTTATATGGGACGCCGCCACAGCATGGCTTGACAAGCAGTGCGTTGGTGCGCGCCCGGGATCTGAACCAGCGAACCCTGGGCAGCCGCAGCGGAGCGTGCGCACCTAACCGCTTGCACCACCGGGCCAGGCCTAATAATGACTTTATTATTTAAAAATAACATACTATATATTCCTTGTGAGAAAAATGTTCATCTCCACTATCATAACTGTCCTCTTTGTAGATCATACAAATCGGTTAGCACTTTTCTAATTTAGGTATTTTTATCATCACTGAATTTCATTTTAACTCAGCAGAGAAAAGAAATTCACAAATATCTATTTGGGGTCTTTATCTTAAAGTATTTGTCAATCCCTCTGATCCGTGAGGAACTAGTTCTATTCTTAAGTTTCAGAGAAAAGATAATCCACAACCTTGGTGAAAATTTTTGTGGCCTACTTACTAAGGAATAAAGATGCTAGCATTTTACTACTATAATACTGAAATAAATCTTTTATATTCCTGGGTATACTTTGGGACTCTATAATATAGATATTGGTGGGGAAAAATGAAAATAATTATTTTCTGACTTAGGTATGGAAAGTGTTTTATAGCATGCTGAATATTAAAGAACAAGTAGGGTTTTCTATTAACATTTTCTGTTAAACATAATGTACACCCAATAAATCCCAGGCTGGTTGGGGTCTCATTCAGAAGCCAGAACACTATCCTATTTAACATTTTTGTTCATATATTGATAGACTAAATTTCCAGATGACATGACGCTGGTAAAGATATCTAATAGCACGTGTGAAGAAAAGAATCAGAATCCAAAATATCTCGACTGGCTGGACAAATGGGCTAATGTGACAAAACTTAGTAAGGAAAAAAAAAAAGAAATCTAGTGTTCAGCTTCAAAAGCCAAGCAAGCAAGAGGGAGTAGGATAGGAGGCAAAGGAACATTAGTATCAGTAAAAGCACTTAAGCATTTTAATCTGTAGGTTCAAGATTCTTAAAAATGTTCATAATGACTCAAAGAATTTATCTTAACAAATCCTTAAATTTTGGTGTGAGCACTTTCATCTCAGCATTATCAATAAGAGCAGAAAAATGTAACAAGATAACGTAAAAAGATAACAATAAAGGAATGGTTAAATAATTCCTACAGATATATGACAGAATATTGTTTAGTTATTAAAACTCATAGATTAATTACATGAGAAACTACTCAGAATATGATACACGAAAATATAGGATGCAAAATTCCACATATGTACTATGATTCTAACTTTGAAAAACAAACAAACTACAGTTTTATTTCCTACTCTGAATATGAGGAAAAAACTGGAAGAAAATATTCAAAATGTTACTAATGCTTGACTGGGGGTGGGGGTGGGGGTGGGGAATGGGATAATATTATTTTTAATCATTTAAAATAGTCTTAGGGGCCGGCCCTGTGGCTTAGCGGTTGAGTGCGCGCGCTCCATTACTGGCGGCCCGGGTTCGGATCCCGGGTGTGTACCGACACACTGCTTCTCCGGCCATGCTGGGGCCGCGTCCCACATACAGCAACTAGAGGGATGTGCAACTATGACATACAACTATCTACTGGGGCTTTGGGGAAAAAAAGGAGGAGGACTGGCAATAGATGTTAGCCCAGGGCTGGTCTTCCTCAGCAAAAAGAGGAGGATTGGCGTGGATGTTAGCTCAGGGCTGATCTTCCTCACACAAAAAAATAAATAATAATAATAAAATAGTCTTAAAATCACCTGCTCATTTAAGAAAATTTACAACATCATGGTAAATCATACACTAGAAAATGAAAGTTCTTTATAATCTTCTCTCCCCCATTTCCTAAGAAATCCACTGTTAGTTTGCTTTTTTCTCATTCGTTTTCTGTGTATACATTAAAAGAGGCATAAAGCAGTTTCTCAGATGTGGTGGATGTATCACTTACATCAAAATAACCTGGGGTGCTTATTAAAAAAGCAGACTTGCAGGGGCTCTACCCTCTGAAGATTCTGATTCCATAGGTCAGGAGTTAGGCCCCCAATCTGCCTTTTCCCCAAGCAGCCGAGGTGATTTTTATATGTACTAATGCTTGAGAAACCCTGTCCTGTACCGTGCTGAAGAGCATGTGTTTAGAACTCAACGGGTCCTGCCATTTATGAGCTGTGAGACCTTGGGTGCATTACTTAACTCTGCTGAGTCTTAGTTTCCTCATCTGCAAAATGAGGATAAAAATAGCATCTGCATCATAGACTTATTGTAAGGACTAAATATGATAATCCATGTAAAGCATAATGTATTACACATGTAAGCACTCAATAAATGCAATAGGTCAGAAGCCGGTGAACAAGCCCCAGCCTCTGGTCCTTCGGCAGACAGTTTTGTGGGGCACTCAGGATACTTCCCAGAGGTCTCAGTGGTTGAGTTCTCTTTGTTCATGGTAGTAACCTTGATGCCACACCTTTGTAGAGGCTTTCCTTCCTCTTCTGTCTTACTGTCCCTGTTCCCTGGTTCCTGCTTCCTGGGTTATCTCCCAAATAAACTTGTATCCCAAGTCCTTAATTCAGGCTCTGCTTTCTGGAGAAAACTTACTAAAACACCAAGGTACTAATAATCTATGTGAATATTGAAATCGCTAAGAATTATGGCAGGAATCGTGTTGGAGAGAATGGTAGTGAGTCAGGACTTATAAATTAATTAAGGAATGAGGGAGTATGACCTGGGGGGGTCAGTGCATGATCATGACAATGAGGATTAATGGATGGATAGTCCATTGACACAAGACTCAATGCTGAGTGCTTTTAGGGAAGAGAGGAGGAGGAGGATTTGGAAGTGGCAGTGGGGAGTGAAGAGGACCCACACACTAACTCCAGGCCCAGTCGTACATCGGCCATCTCTCGTGAGACAGATGTAGGCGAAGCAGTGACTTCGGGGGAAAAACAAGGTTCACTTAGAATAAGACAGTAAAGGAACCCTTAACAGAAGAGTCTGAGGATACAGAGGATTTTACTGCCTGTCCAGAGGCTCGGAGGTTGGGGAAACGGGAGAAGGAACTAGAAGCGGTAAGTGCCGAGGTGTACTTGGACGAGGGGTAATCTAGGTGTTGGGGTCTGTTGTGGAGACTAACAAGGCTAAAGGCATAATGAGATTGGTCTTAATGGTGGAAGGATAGATAGTGGGGGTATGTCAGATGGTAAGGAGGGGTGGGGATCTCAACAGAAACAGCTCTCGAATCCTGTCTTCTCTGCTGCAGTTGAAAGTGTGGAGGCTGGGGAGGGGCACTCCTACTCCATTCAAATCCACAGGGTTCTTGGGAATTCTCTTAACCCTTACTAGAGGAGGCAGGGAACCCAGGGAGGTTCAGACATGAGCTTATCTGAATTACTGAGAATTCTGGGGAACAAATTTTAACAACTAGTTTGGGGCTAGTCATCTCAAAGCAAATGGTAAATAGTCACCTATTCTTTCAAGGTTCTTCATTAACAATTGTTAACCAATGCCTGAAGCTTATGCCTCAATTATATTTCCTAGACAAGGATGAATTAAATAATATGGGGCTTACGATATTCTGTTTATTTAATGGAAAATAACCCCTAAATGCTGAAAAATAGCAAAAGTGTCTAAAGATTAAAAATATCGCAAAACAACTCTGTGAGGCACCAGAATTATCAGTTCTTGAAAAACCAGTGATTAGGTACATGATTTCTGGAACAAATAGATACTTTAACCAACTTGTTGGGTTGACCAACTTGCATCCTATGAACTTGCTTGGGGTCAAATTATCTTCCACCATATCAGTTAGTGTTGTTACTGACAGAACTGGAACTAGATCCAAGTTCTCTGATTTGTGATTTAATGCTCTTGTTTGAAGGATGGTTTCAGAGAAAAACAGAGAAAACAGAGATGAAAAACTCAATGCATGTTTCTCTTGTCCAGTGAAGCAGAACCCTCACTTCCGGACCTGATTCTTTTTATCTCCTCTGAGGCTGTCTCACTGAAGGCTCGGACTTTATCTAGTTCCTCTTTGCCCCCTGTCCACAGCTGTGGATCTCCCCTGCCTTATCTCACGACGTACCTTCTTCAGGTAGGAGAGAAGTGGTTAAACCTGAGATGGTTCCATTTTTCTGTTTTTGCTGGACCTGTTTGCATATCATCTGGACCTGTTGGCTCCAGTGCCCAAGTCAAGCTCACCCTTTATTCCTTACTCACCCACTAAATAGATTCGCCAGCAGCTAGGAGCTCTCCTCCACGGAAAGAAGACAAGTCAGAGGTTTTAACTCCGGGCTCCTTAACCTTGCATTCTGGTGCCCTCCAGCGACTACTGTTGGGCTCGCAGCCACTGGAATGGGAGTGTTCAAAACTCTATCTCACTAGCTCTCCCTAGTGGTACATCAGTTCACTACAGTGGCAGGAGCTGCCCTCCGAGATCACGTTGAATTTTTAGTTCAAGGGGGATTTTAAAGACCGGGAAAGACACCCCCCCCAACACTTCTAATACTTTCTTCATTATCTATAATTACATAAATAATTATTCACTTTCCAGAAAAAGCAAACAACTTTATCTCGCTTAATTAGTGCTAAGTAGAAGAAACAAAAATTACCAGCTGTTGGCCAATTATAACCTCTTTATTCATGCTATCACTTGGAGGCTTCATCTAATCAGAATTTTATTTTAAAATTCTATAATACTACTTTTTATTCAAGCTACTATCATTCAAAAGCCTTATCTATTTTTAATTTCTTTCAGTTTAGACAATTTGCAAGATAAGGCTGGACTATGAAAATAATATTTTAGTAACAGAATTTGGAGACTGACTTTCTACATGAAACTCAGTTTCTTTTATTTTTTTTAAAGATTTTATTTATTTATGTTTTCCCCCCAAAGCCCCAGTAGATAGTTGTATGTCATAGCTGCACATCCTTCTAGTTGCTGTATGTGGGACACAGCCTCAGCATGTCCGGAGAAGCGGTGCATCGGTGCACGCCCGGGATCCGAACCCGGGCCGCCAGCAGGGGGGCGCGCGCACTTAACCGCTAAGCCATGGGGCCGGCCCAGAAACTCAGTTTCTTAATTGAATTAAATCTGAAGTAAATTGTCAGAGTATTTTTGCTGGGCCAAAGCAATCCAGTAGCTATAGTACAAAGGATGTGTCCTGCTGTATTTTTCTTAGTAAATTACTTGCTACTTATAAAATTAAAATATTCTGAGGCTTCACAAGTCCAGGCAATGAGGTCACATCACTATTAATGCCTAAATTTTGCCACTTCTTCCACCAGCCTCCACTTCTTCCCCTTCACTTTTTTTGTTTTGTTTTATTTTGTTAGTCTCCAGGCCAGGCTTCGAATGCCAGGATCAATTCTTCTCGTGTTCTTCAGCTCCATCATTTAGTCGGCTATCTACAATGTGTTGGTGATTTCAGAGAATATAATTAGAAACGCTAATTATGAGCCAATTGAGAAGAAACACAAGGGGACAAACAGGCCTTAAAATTTTACATGATGGTAGTAAAGCTATACTGGAGAATATATCCTGAAAGGAACGCCAAGTGTTGTTTTTTTCCCTCTTCTCTCGGAACAGAACTTGCCGGCTCAGTCATAGGTAGTGTGGCTGGAGAACCACAGACCTCCTTCAACTCCTGCAACTTAGAAGGGATGATAGCCCAGCATCTACCCACTAGACATCCATAAGAATCAGCTCGGACTATCAGGGACATCCTGTTACATTTATCTTTGATATGATTTCCCCAAAATTAATTTGTATACTGTATTCAATACTGCAGACAATTTTGTGGGGCACTCCAGATACAGTATACAAATTAATTTTGGGGAACCTCACATATGGAATGAGGACATCTAGTTTGATGACCATGAAAATCTTGAATCACCAGATTCTCCTGACCCCTCTGAGCCTGAGAAGCCCACCCCTCTCTATTAAGAACTAGCACTTCTCCCTCCACTTGTTGACGTGCAGAGATTTTTTTTTTTTTCCCACAAGGCAACATGTGCTTCCTCTCCTGGCCTTAACTAGGGTTAAGTCACAATATAACCTGGTGAAGAATGTGCTGGGCCTGATAAGGGAGGAAAGAGAATATATGCCAAAAGGAACTGCAAGACTGCCAGTCCGTGCTGGCAGGGCCTGGGGGATTATGCATGCTGTTGGTTTCTGAAGGTGCTTGATCAGCAGGCCAGAATATAAGGTTGATAAGGGAAATTTTATTGATTTAGGAGCATTTTCACAGAATATTGGATTTAATACTCTGGCAAGAGTCCCAGGAGATGGTGCCAACTTTCTCCTAGGATATCTTCTAGAAACATAGATAATGAAATGTCCACACTAAATGAAGTTAGAATGCTAGAATTTCCAAGATTGATAGAAGAAAGGGTTAAAAGGCTCAGAGAAGGGAACATAATGAAGTGGATATACTATGTAAAGTGGAAAACTCTCCAGATGATAACGTTTCACAGAAAGGCCTGGAGGATACATCATGTATCAAGGCAATAAGGAATGTCCTAGTAAGAGGGGCACCTGTGTCACTCACTAAGAAGTTCAGCTGTGGCTCTCTGCTGTAGACCGGTGCCGAGGGTAAGAGAGGTCATTACAGAACCAGGCTCCCTGATAGGAACTGGGATGGTAGGATGGAGATGAGACGGCAACACTTAACCATTAGAAACCACGTGGACACAATCATCATAATGTACGTCAAGGTCAGGGGTGCATGATCTGCAGAGAGTTGTAGAGATGATTAATAGAACATGGTGTCTATGATGCTTAATTTTATGTGTCAACTTGGTGCCCAGATATTTGGTCAAACATTATTCTGGGTGTTTCTGTGAGGATATTCTTTTGGATGAGATTAACATTTAAATTGGTGGACTCTGAGTAAAGCAGATTGTCCTCTATAATGTGAGTGGGACTCATCCAAGCAGTTGAAGGCCTGAATAGAACAAAAAGACCAGTCTCCCCTGAGCAAGAGAGAATTCTCCAGCAGACTGCTTTTGGATTTGATCTGCAATGTTGACTTTTCCTAGTTCTACAGTAGATGGCCTTTGGATTAGAACTGGAATATTGGCTTTCCTGGGTCTCCAACCTGCTGGCCCATGCTGCAGATTTTGGACTAGCCAGACTCTATCATCTTGTGAACCAATTCCATATAATAAATCTCTTTATATAAAGAGATTTATATATAATATATATATTATATTATATATATGCTATTGGTATACTATTGGTTCTCTGAACCCAATCCTCTGGAGAACCCTGGCTAATGCAGTGTCTCTGTGGCAAAAGGGATGGGCAGCCTAACTGGCATACTCAATCTGTACCATCAAAAAAAGTCAAGGATGTATGAGCAGGAGGTTCAGGGCAGTCGCCTCAATAAAAAGTCATCATCCCTTGCCCAATTTTCAGACCCAGAACCTATTGACTTTAGGAGAGGTTGGGTCCCCAGGAGGAAAGACCTACAACATCTCAGCAAGTGTACATGGTAGTGTTTTCTCCCATCCTTTCCCACAGAGACCTACAGCCATTTACAATGGTAACTATGCACTGGGGAAAAGGGATACTCAAATATTTCAAGGACCATTGGACACAGGGTCCAAGCTGACATTGGTATTCAGAGTCCTGAAGTGTCATCATGGTTCCATTCTTACATGTCATCTGTGTTAGAATAGGGGCATATAGGGACCAGGTAATAAGTGATACACTTGATTAGGTCCAGCTCACAGTGGGTCTACTGCATATACACACTCATTCATTGGTCATTTCCTCAGTCTTCAAATGTGCAATCAAAATAGACATACTTGGTAGTTGGCACAGCATATTGGGTCATTAGCCTGTGGCGTACAGCTAGCAAAGTGGGGAAACCCAAGTAGTAGGCTCTGAAAGTGCACATCTGCTCTTGCCGAGAGGATAAATACTATGTCCTGAGGGAGATGGTGGAAATTAGGGCTATTCTTAAAGATTTTAGAATTCAGGAGCGGTAATCCTTATTATATCTCCATTTAATTTACCAGTCTTGCCCCTGAAAACACTAGATAGATTTCGGAGAATGACAGTAGACTACCGAACTCAATTGTAGCACCAAAGGTACCAATTGTAGCATTGTCCCAGATGTGCTATCTTTGCTAGAGTAGATTAACATGGTCCTAGGTACATGGCATATGGCTTTTGATTTTGTGAATATATTCTTTCCTACCTGCGCCAGAAAAGAGGACAGAAACAGTTTGCATTCACATGGAATGGACAACAGTAAAAATGTGCAGTTTTGCCATAGGGCTAGGTTAACTCTCCTGTCCTCCGTCATACTATAGTCCAAAGAGATCTAGACTATCCTAACATCCTGCATAACATCATATTGATAAACGACATCATTTATGATAAATGACTGGTTATTATGCTGGAAGCCTTTGTAAGACACATGTACTTCAGAGGTGGGAAATAAACCCCATGAAGATTCAGGAACCTGCCAAAAGAGCTGAATTTTTAAGGGTCGAGTGATCAGATACATGCTGAGACTAAAGTAAAGTAAAGAACAAATTGTTGCATCTTACACCTCTTACCATGCAGAAGGAAGAACAAATCCTGGTAGGCTTCTTTGGGTTCTGAAGACAACTTAGTTCACACCAGATAATACTGCTCTGACCCATATACTAAGTTTCCAGAAAATGAAAGGGCTCTACAGCAGGTCCAGATTGTGGTGCAAGTGACCCTGCTGCTTGGACCAAAAATCTATACACATCTATACCCTTAGATGTACCTCTGGCGAGAAAGACACATTGTGGAGTTTATGGCCAGATCCAATGGGAGAATCACAAGGGATGTCACTCATCCCTAGGGTTCCAGATCAAAGTCATTCCATCTATAGAAGAGAATGATATGCCTTTTTAAAAACAACTTCTAGTATGATGCTGGGCACTGGTAGAGGTGAAAAGCATGACCATGAAGCACCAAGTGACCATGTGACCACAACTGCCCTTCATGAGTTGGTTTCCATTAGAGCCACCAAGCACAGCAACACTCTCTTATAAGATAGAAGTGGCACATCCGGGATCGAGCACAAGCCAGACCAGAAGCAGAAGCAAGCTGTGTAGACAGGAAGCTTGGAACCCTATGTCATCCAACACTATTGCACCAGCACCTCTTCCTTAGCTCCCACCTATGGCCTTATGACCAGCTGATGAAGGAGAAAAAGGGCCAGGCTTGATTTGTGGTGGACTGACTCAGTATGTGTGTGCAGGCCAAAAATGCACAGCAGCTGCACCAAAGCCTTGAAAGGCAGTAGTTAGGGAAAATCCTCCCTACGGCCAGAGCTTTCGGTGTGCCCTTTGACAAAGATTCTCTCCTTCACCAAACTTTAGCCAGGTTCCTCAGAGCCTGAGTAGGCTGTGCTTGGGCATGTCCTAGAGCCCAGTTTTAGCAAGAACCTTGCTAAGTTAGTTTCGCCAAAACCTCCCACCCTGATATCTGATCAAATTCCTCATCCCTCATCGTCCCCCAAGTGGTATGTGGTTACCCTGGTCTGCCTTCAGCAAGAATCCTTTTAGGTTTGTTTAGCCAGAATCCACACTGATGTTTCCTCTTAGTAATTTTCCATCCACTGACCCCCACCCTACTCCTTGGCTATAAATTCCCACTTTTCCTTGTTGAATTTGGAGTTAAACCCAGTTCTATACTGAATTTTCTTTCCCCTGATTGCAATGGTTCATGAGTAAAACCTGTTTTTACTGCTTTAACTACTATCCATTTCTGGTTTTTCTTTGACAACTTGGTCATTCACTTTATGTGGAAAGAGAAATGGCATGAAGTTAGAATATACAGTCTCTTGGGAAGTGGTGAATGGCTTGGCTTTCTGATCAGGGGTGTGAAAGTAGGATGATTTGGGATGAAGTCTGGGATCAAGGCAGAGGGTGGACATATGGGAGACAGCACAAAGTACAAAGGTCTTTTTATCGTGTTAATGCTGCCAAAAGCATCTACATCAGAAGAGGCTCTAAGCAACCAAATAGACAAAATTACTCTGCCAATTGGCCTCAACCAGCCTCTGTCTTCGGCCGCCCAGTTCTGGCATGAAGGGCACATGAACAAAGTGGTCAAGGTGGCAGGGATGGAGGCTGTGCTTAGACCCAACAGCATGGCCTCCCACTTATCAAAGTTGAATGTCCACCATTGATTGTGCAATCTGTCAGCAGAAGAGACCAACACCGAGTCATTGATAGAGTATCATCCCTCGGAGAGACTAATTGGTCATTTGGTGGCAAGCTGACTATAGTGGAAAGGTCAACTGTTAATTCTGGCAGGAAAGACACATATCCTGGGTATGGGTTTGCCTTTCTTGCTTACAGGGATTCAGCACAGTATGCCATATATTATCACATCAGACCAGGGACCCACTTTATATCAAAAGATGTGCAGGAGTGAGCCCATGACCATGAGCTCCCTGATTGTATCACATATTGCACCACCCAGAAGCTGCTGACCTGACAGAGCATTAGAATGGCCTGTTAAAGGCAGAGCTGAAATGCCTGCTCAGTGAAGATGCTTTTTGAGGATGGGGCATCGTCCTTCAGGACGCAAAGTTTCCTTTGAATCAAAGCCTTATATACAGTGCTATGTCCTCAATAAGAAGAACACATGGGTCCAGGAACCAAGGGGTGGAACCAGGAGTGGCCTCACTTACCATCACTCCCAGTGACCTACTCCATCTCCACAACTCTGAACTCTTCAGGTTAAGAGGTCTTGATCTCCAAGGGGAAATACTTCTGCCAGAAGACACAGCAAGAATACTATTAGTTATAAACTATAGCTGCACTGGGCACCTTGGCATCTTATGGCAAGGAACCAGCAGACAAGAAGAGGATCTTCATCGTGGTAAGAGTAATTGAGTTTTGTTAGGAGAGGGTACGGATGCTGTTAATGCAATGGGGCAGGGAAAAATATATGCATCACTTGGGTGTCTCATGGGACTCCCTTTCCAATTTGATGGTAAACGGAGAAGTGCAGTAACCTTGGCCTGAAAAGGGCAATTGTACTAGTTTCCTATGCTGTAACAATTTACCATAAACTTAGTGGCTAAAACAGCATAAATTTATCATCTTACAGTTCTGGAACTCAGAGGTCCAAAAATGAGTCTTATGGGCTAAAATTAAGATGTCAGCAGAGTTGCATTCCTTCTGGAAGCTAGGGGAGAATCTGTTCCTTGCCTTTTCCAGCTTCTAGATGCCACCTGCATTCCTTGGCTCATGGCCCTGTTCCAACAATGGCATCACTCTTCTGCTTCCATCATTACAGTTCCTTCTCTGACTTGGACTCTCCTGTCTCTCTCTTTCCCTTGTGATTATATTGGGCCCATCCGGATAATCCGGGATAATCTCTCCATCTCACATTCTTTAACTCAATTACATATTTGCAGGGTGACTCTGCACAGTCTGTAAGCCATGTAAGGTAACGTAGTCACAGGTTGTCTGGAATTAGGATGTAGGCACCATCAGAGATGAGGGTCTGCATCTTACCACCAGACAAGCCAATGAAACCGGTAGAGATGCTAGATGAGGGTGAGAGGAATCCAGAATGGACGGTAGAGAAAGAAAACAAGTATCAGTTGTGGCCTTGAGATCAGTCGCAGAAGAAGTGTCTTGTATTTTGTTCCACTTCCTGTTCTAAGTTTCTCCCAGAAAGAGAGGTTCATTGGAATCCTGGAGGAGCTGCTCCCAAACGTATATGAAGAAGTGGATTGGAGCAGCTTTACTAGCTGTCAATTTATGGCTTATGGCGCCGAATCCAGCTTCCTTTGCCCTGCTTTGTACTTGGACCCAACAGCACGGGCTCCCACTTACCAAGGCTGATCTAGCTACAGCTACCACTGAATGTCCAACCAAAGAGACCAACACAGAGCCCCTGACATGTCACTACTCCCCAAGGGGACTGTGCAGAAAAGAGTTAACATAGCAGGCCTAACTGCTATGCTTTGGGTTGGCCCTTGGCTGGCATCTGAGAACTTGGATTTCAGGAGGGTTTCAACTATCCCCAGAACTGAGAAGAGTGACTTGTTATGCCTAACCTGTTTGTACAAACAATATAGTTTATGCTGAATACCTGCTTTCCTTTAGGGAGTCTGGAATATGTGCCATGGAGAGGCGGTCTACATGATCAGACCCTAATAAAAACCCTGGGCGGTGTTTCTAACGAGCTTCCCTTGTAGACAACATTTCACATGTGTTGTCACAATCTGTTGCGGGGGGGATTAAGCACATCCTGTATGACCCCACCTGGAGAGGACTCATGGAAACTCATGCCTGTTTTTTCCCAGACTTCATCCCATGCACCTTTTCCTTTGGCTGATTTTGCCTTGTATCCTCTACTGTAATAAATCATAGCCATGAGTAGCCTATCTGCTGAGTCCTATGAATCCTTCTAGTGAATCACTGAACTGGGGTGTGGTCCTGGGGATCCCCTAGACAGGGACCAACCAGCCACCCACTGAAGGTTAATTACATTGGAACTTTTCCATCATGGAAGGGGCAGAGATTTGTCCTTACTGGAATAGATGCAAATTCTGGATATAGTTTTTTTTTTGTGTGTGAGGAGATCAGCCGTGTGCTAACATCCGCCAATCCTCCTCTTTTTTTGCCGAGGAAGACGGCCCTGGGCTAACATCCGTGCCCATCCTCCTCCACTTTATATGGGTCGCCGCCACAGCATGGCTCGCCAAAGCAGTGCGTCGGTGCGCGCCCGGGATCCGAACCAGCGAACCCCGGGCCGCCGCAGCAGAGCGCACGCACCCAACCGCTTGCGCCACCGGGCTGGCCCCTGGATATAGTTTTATCTTCTCTGTCTGCTATGCTTCTGGCCGCACTTCCTTGAACTCGCAGGATGCCTTAACTGGGAGATGGCGTCCCCCATAGCATTGTGTCTGATCAAGAAACTCATTTCACAGCAAAGGAAGTACAGCAGAGGGCTCAAGCTTATAGAGTTATTTGGTCTTACCACATACCTCATCACCCAGAAGCCACTGGCCTAGTTGAAAGGTAAAATGGCTTACTAAGGACTCAGTTACAGAGCCATTTAGAAAGGTTCTGAAAGGATGGGGTTCTGTATTACAGGATTCAGCATATACTTTGAATCAGAGACCATTATATGCTATAGTCTCCCCTACAGCCTGAATACATGGGTCTGGGAATCATGATACAGATGTATGAGTGCCTCCTTTCATTATACATTGAGTTTTTCTTACCGTCATTTTGAACTCATAGATTTAAAAATATTTGTGATTTTACTCCACTATTATTCATTTTGATGTTCATATTGTCCCAGCTTTGGCCTCTTCAAGTTTGCTTCTAAGTCCTTTTGCTATGTCCATAGTAATTTTTGATAGCTTCCTCACTTTCCAGTGTGACAAGATGTCCAGGCTCATTTTGTTCATTTCTTGCCCCAGACCAAGAATCAGGCATTGCACCAAAGAGCCTTGGTACCTCTTAGTGGGAAACAGCATTTAGAGACCACAGTCTGGGCGCTGGTGGGTGTGGGAGGGGCTTATAGCCAGTGGGTTAGTCATTATGACAACATACTTTAAAACTTCAGTAAGTGAAAGTGTGGGATTAGTTCAACAATAGACTAATAATTTACGGAACTTAAGTCTGGAAACAGATTCTGTATAGATACAGATAGAGCTAAAATATAGGCATGTAAACCTTATTTGATAAAGATGGCAATTTAAATGTTTGGAGAAAGCAATAAATGACATTGGAACAATGGACTATTTATTCAGGAAAAAATCCCTATGTCATACCATGTATAAATAAGTTCTGATATATAAAAGTATAAATATAAAAAGCAAAGTGTAGGAGAGTTTTATAAGTTTTGGATAGGGAAGAAGTTCCTAATCAAGACAAAAATTCTAGAAGACACAAAGGAAAATGAAAACTTTACAAACAAAAGATAACAGAACAAGTTATAACAGGCTGGAAGAAAATAATTTCAAGACACCAAACAAAGTGTTTCTGTCCATACTATAGAAAGTGTTTCTAAAAAATCAATAAGAAAAATTCTAACAATCCAATTGAAAATTGAAAAGGATATAAATAGGCAATTCACCAAAGAAATACAAATGATCAATAAATTTATGAAAGCTGCTCAGCCTCACAAGAACAGAAAAATGCAAATAAAAATGAGAATATTTTTGCCCATCATTTGTCAATATGTCAAAATTTTGCCATTATTTAGTATTAATGAGAATCAGAAGGAAACGAATGCTCTTATAAATTCTGTTTGAGAATATCCTTGGCCTACTCTTTTTAAAGAAAATTTCGCAATAGCTACTAAAAAATTTACAAGGTCCTTTGACCCAGCAAGCACACTTCTAGGAATACATCACATAAAATTACTCACGCATTTGTCCAAAAATATGTTCACTAATATGTTCATTGTAACATTGTTTATAGTAGTAAAAAATTGGAAACAATCTAAATGTCTATTATTGAAAGTGGTTAAATAAATGATATTTCCCTCCATATTATGGAACTCTATGAAACTGTCAAAAAGAAAATCAAAACATATCAATATGAAAGAGGTTGCCTAGACCCTATTATGTGCAAAAAGCAAGTTACAGAACACTATAAACTGATCTCATTTATGTAGTCTCTCCTCCATTAATATACATGTATTGTAAGTGTAAATATACAGGAAAAAGAGATGAAGGACACACATAAAATTGTGGACAGTGACTTTCTCTCAGAGGGGAATGGAATTGGGGTAGAGTAAAAGGAGGCTTTCACTTTCTACTTTATATCTCTGTTATTCGATTTTTTCTTTTTACAACATGGCTGTGTTATTACTAGGAGGAAATACATTAAATATTGGAATAGCCGTTTTCAGGTAATTGGTCTACTGGTGATTTTTCCCTCATCTTTCTATTTTTCTATATTTTCCAAAATTTTGTACAATGAGCTAGAATTTATTACATAATGGGAATACTTTTATTAAAATGATAAACTACCTTAAAAACATTATGCTAATGGAAAGAAGCCAGTCACAAAAGATCACATATTACATGATTCCATTTATATGAAATGTCCAGTATAAGCAAATACAGAGACACAGAAAATAGATTAGTGGCTGTTTAGGACCCAGGTGGCATGGGGTGGGGAGGGGTGTTGGGAATGACAGCTAAAGGGTATGAAGATTTCTTTTTGAGGTGACAAAAATGTTCTAAAACTGATTGTGGTGATGGTTGCACAACTCCAGGTATACAAAAAACCATTTAATTGTACAACTTAAATGGGTGAATTACGTGGTATGTAAATTACACGTCAATAAAGCTGTTGCCAAAAAATCTTTAAAAAAATTATGCTACTGCTAATCATTTTATATATAACTGACTATGAAGCCCAATCCTTTGACCCTCAGTCCTTACCACACTGTGCACAGCCATAACTGTTCCTGGGGATAACTGTTTCCAGCACTGCTGTCAAGACGTGATGGCCCACACTCATTAGATCACCTGTCCCTCTGATCAGATGCCGTTGGTGATCACCAGCAGTCCCCAAGATTTGCATCATCTTCTGTTTGCCCTATTAGAGCATTCTTCCCTGACCCTAAGAATCAGACCATTTCAGTCATGACCATTTACAATGCACTATTGTAAGACAGCCATTATCAACAGTTTCTGGCACAAATGGAGATTAAAACTGCCTTCTTCACAACTCAGTGGTTATAAGAATAATACTAAAAATAAAACAAAAATAAAAGATGACATTTATCAAGTGCTTACTATGTTCTAAGCACTCTTGTAAATATTTTACATGTGTAACTGGTTATGTGTGCAGAAGTTATGAAAATTTTTTGCATGTGATTTAACAGTTCAATTCAAAATTTAATAAGCTCCCACTATGTGTAAGGCTGAAGCAGGACAAAGATGAACCAAATAGGAAAAAGTCACAAATTCTGAAATATCTGTTAAGGCACAGTACATGGCCATGATCCCTTTTCTGCAATTCTGAAACCCAAAAAACGCTGAAAATCTAAAATTCTTGACATCTCATTTGGCTGCAAAAATCTGACCTGAACTGATGACAGGTTATTTATAGACTGCCTTTTTTAGTGTGAATATTCATACATTTTACTGCGTATATATTAATGTTTGATTATGGGGTTCTGCCCCACACTCCATTATGTATTAGGTAATATACAAGGGATTTCAGATCTCTGATTCTTATTAGCACTTCATTTATGAATACACACACACATGCATTTAATTGCAGTTAAACAGTTGTTTCTGTTTTAAAAGCACCACTGAAGATGGTTTGCTAAAGATGGATAATGTAACAATCCTGGGACAATCATAGTTCTCATTTTCATTCTTTTTATTCATTATTTAAAATCAAATAACACTTAATAACATACTTCAAAAAGTTTATACCATATCTTTCTTCCATTGGCTGTCACTCTAAAAAAAATGACAAGAGATGATTGTAGCAAAACATGTTTTTTCTTTCATGGAATGTATAAATTAAAACCAAGAGTATGGAACCCACATTTAATAGGATTAATTCAACATAATAACCATCAGTTAGTAGTCACTGAATGTCACATGGATGATACAATGTTTTAGGCACTATTTAAAAAAAGACAAAAAATTTACCTAGAGATAACAAGGAACATTAATTTTTTTATAGCTTAAAAAAATTTCTTTTCATTTAATCTATACCATGATTATATCATGTAGTAAGTGAACTAGATTGTGTAATGATTGATATAGATTGTCACAGCTCATCACTTGTTTCTACTTGCATCAGTTATTAAGGTTTTAGAAATACCAAGTCATGCAGCAGTTCATTCAGGTCAGGAGAATATTTTGTTAGTTATTTTAACATCAGGTGAAGGTGTGTTGCGCAGGAAAGTTGAGTGAAAACTTTGGGATTTAGAAAGATTCTGAAGCAGAGATGGCTATTTATCAGCTGTGGAATTTCCAAGAGTTAGCTGCTCTTGGGAATGTATTCTACTATTTTAAAATACAAAGGATCAAACTTTTAAGCCTTTATTGTCTTTCTTTTTTTTTTTCCTTAAAGAATACATGTTTCCTTTGCATTTCCAACTACATCTCTCCAGGCAGCTACTGGGGAACAGATGAGTTAGTTTATCAAACGGGTCTTCAGTCTACGAATCCTTCTCACTATGTCAAGCCTAAGGAAATTACTCAAATGTAGTGCACTCTTTGAAGTCTATGGAAGCTTTGTACTTAACTGAACCAAGAGCAATATAAAATCTGACAAAATCACTCTTAAAATGATTTTATTAATCCACAGATTCCGTTTTGTAATGATGTACAGTTGGATAAAAAGACTGGTAAAGTTATCTTAATAACAGAAAAGACTGCTTTGGTTGCCACAAAAAAAAACCACGGAGTACTTTGAGGCTTTTAGGAACCTAGAGTAAACTTTCAAGTTTCCAGGCTCAAGAAATCTAGTTTGCTACTATTATGTATATGAAGGCCTCATTTAAAAGCACTGTGATTACATAATCATTTTGGCTTAAGCTTACCATTTAATGAACCATCACAACACTACATGCACGGAGAGTATTAATGCAACTCAAGATGAGCAATTTCTGTTAGGGATAAGTATAAATTAAATACATTTTAAATTACACAATTTTAAGGTAAAATCAATACTATCTGATTTCTAAGAAACTTAGTCAAAATCTTTTGCCTGGAGCAGATATTTTTACTATTTTGGCATTATTATCCATATTCTCTATGATGATGAGTAAGAAAATAGGTCAGCTATTTTATATATATAGATAGATAAAGATATCTAGCTAAAGTTATACAGATGTTTGGCAATCTTGTATAAGAACTCAGATCTTTGTAGTCACTGTTCATTTTAATACTGTTTTACCACAAATAGCTCCTCTATAACATCAAAATGATTTAGCCCAGTATTAGTATTTTGTGAATTCAGTTAGACCACATTTCCCCTTTTCTTCACCACACACACACACACACACACACACACACACACACACACACACACACACAAAACACAGCATGGTATTGGAAAGAACCCCAACCAAGGTACAAGGAGAACCAGAGTTCTAGGCTTGCTCCTGCTCATGTGTGCCCTTGGTGAGTATCAACTTTTCGGGGCCCTACCCTCCCATGTGTTTCTTCTGATTCCTTATTTCTATTCTAAATCTTGGAACACATCATACCCTTTACCTGGATATTAGTCCTACCCCAAGTATAAAGGGTACCCACTTAAAGTTAAATCACATTTTATATTTTAGCTGTTTAACTCTACAAGGAGGCACAGGTGACTGTACTTTAAAGTGTTGTTAGATATTCAGTAATTGAGTTTATGCCATTTTTGACTGATGGAAAATTGTAATATAAGATTTAAAATTGTAATAGTAAAAATAGACTACTTCACATTTTGGGGTACAGGTATTTTCTCATCTGGCCAATTATAGTTTGAACTCACTCAAGTGAAATTAATGTAAGGATATTAAGAAAATGTTGACAATATAAATATTCAAAAATTTTATAGTGGTGGTATAATTTATATTCTTCTCTCCATAAGCACTATTAAAAATACTCACGAACCTAGAAAATGTACAAGTATTTAAAAATACAATTAAATATCTACCTCAAGGATGCACAAAACCTGCATTCAAACATGACTTTTTATTGAATTAAGTCTCCTGAGATTTCCTTCCCTATCATTTCCACTTTGGAGGACCAGTGTTCAGAGTAAGAGGGCAGAGGGAATACATCAAACCAACAACTACCCCAGGTCCATGAAAACATGTGCCTCCTTTGCTCCCTCTGCATGGGAATAAAGGGAAAGAACATGAGAAAACAAAATTCTCATCCACTGTAAATAGGATGCCTATGAGCAGCTGATAGCAATCTCACATTTGTATAATGCTTTCTTGATTTACAAAGCTTTTTTACAGGCTTCACTTGATTCTCAAAATAATTCCATGAAACACAATAAATGGAGTTATTAGCCTCATTTTACAGATGAGAAAACTGATACTTAGAGAGATTAAGTGACTTACTCATGTACAAATATTGTAGAGCAAAGGCAAGCTTAGAACCGAAGTTTTCTGATTTCTTGTTAAATAAATATTCTTTCTACTATACCATTTTGGTTTTCACAAAAATGAAGCAAGTATAGTTTAACAGTAAAAACCTTATGATTCCAAAAAGGCAGCTTCATTTGGTGTCTCTTTGTGATCAAGAATGGTTTACAGAACAGAATAGAAATGTATATTATTAAATATTTGACATTGTGATCAAAATGCCCCTTCCAGGAGGGGAATTTAAATATAAGTTAAAAATAAGTTAAAAATTAGAAAACTCAAAAATCATCTTATAGCCTTAACTCATTATTCTATCTTTACTTTTACTGATGAGATTGTAAAATACAATTTGAATGCTAAATATAGCAAACATCTAGCCAAAATTCCGTGCCCAGAAAAGTCTTTTCTACATTTTTCTGTATTGGAAATGGGGAAATGTGGAAATTTTCTTGGACAAAAGGAGTATTACTAAAAACATTCTGTATTTACCTATATTGATAATTTTGACAATAGTTCAATGTAAATTGCATTTACTTTCTTTGAAAATGTCAGTATATACATAAATTTGTTTTTCTCCTCTGAATAAGGACAGTAGACTATAGCATCAAAACATTTGTTGAGAGTGGTCCTTCGTTTTTATTTTTACAAATATTTGCAATAAAATATTTTGCTTGGATCCTTAGATATCTTTATAAAACATAACATTTTCAGGACCTATAAATCATAGAACAAAAATGAGTATAAAACTTATTTTCTAAAGTTCATGCAAATTAAGGGAGGATAAATACTTCAGAGAATGGTTACAAGTCTGATACCTTAAACAAGGAACTGCTATTTGAGTCCTAGCTGAAAGCTCTGAGATGGTTTACCTTGTAAGTGAACAACGTACTTTTAAATCCACTTTACTATTCAATATTAATCAATTAACTCAAGAGAATGTAATTCCTGATAAACTCTTTTCAATCAGACTATATATGCACAAAAAAGACAGTATCAAACTGCCAAGAAAAATGAGTAACATTGACATATTTGGATATTAAGGTCAGCTATGTGCGAACAAAGAATGGAGATAATTATGTAGACACTCCAGTTTCAAGAAAAAGTTGTCTGCTTTGTCTGATAATTTAGCAAAATATCCAATCTGACAGTGTAACAAGTAAGCATAGTGCTCCAAATCAAATACGTTACAAAACAGTGTTAGCATGGGTTGATAACTTTTTTTAATGCCTTCATTGCATCATTCTGCTGTTAATGTCGGTATTTATCCTGAAATGACACCCAATCTGTTTTTGTTAGTTCTTTGGCATGTTTGAAGTCAGCAGAAGCACTCTTTCTTGGGCTTGACTGCTTCCTCAGAAGAATGCACAGTATTTGGAACAAAACCACTTTTAACCCCTTCCCAGCCATCCTGAATACAAATTTCTCCCCTTTTAATAAGCTCATATATGTCTCTTGTTAAGATCGTGAAGGATTCCTCAACATTCGTAGCATCTTTTGCTGAGGTTTCTATATACCTCATACCACAGTCTGCTGACAGTTTTTCAGCTTCTTCCCTTGTAACTTGGCGTTTTGAAGCTAAATCACATTTATGTCCCACTAGCAGAAATACAATCCGAAACGGCTGTACATACATTTTTGCTTCTTCTAGCCAATCTTTCACATGTTCAAAAGATCGTCGGTTGGTAATGTCAAATACTAAAAATCCACCAACTGAGTTGCGATAATAAGATCGAGTTATTGATCTGAAAAATAAATAGAAAAAATGGTTGTAAAAGGACAAGTTGTTCTTTTTCCCCTCCTTCAAACAATGTAGCACCATAACAAAATTTGAAGATACCTTAATGTGATTTAACCAGAATTTATAAATTACATACGAAGTGTCTAAGGGAAACAAAAATATTCTGAGACTAATATGCAAGCCAGTTTCCTCCACTGACAACATTAAAGTCGTAGTTATTTTTAGATAGACAAATAAGCATTTACGTGGTATGTCATCTCAAACTCTTAGGATTATTTGTTTTTATTTTTAAATATCTGATAGAATATCATTACATCATTGTGGTTAAAAATAGGCACACAGAAAGATTTGGTGAAGGGCAGAGGTTGCAGAGCAAACCAGATCTTAAGAATCTCTGCTTCTCATTTAATTCAACAAGCCCCTCTCTCTATCAGTTAAGGAAGAAGAAACAAGGGCAAACCTCATAATGGTAGTTACAGGAATAGCCCTGTGCTATACCTATTCAAGAAACAGGAAATTGTTTGGATGCGGGATATGCATCTTAGGTGTGCTAATGATTGTTTGCCTCTCCAGATCTAGTCTCCGCTCCCTGGGCCTCAGGAAGCTGACCTTTACAGAAAGCTTTCCCCAACTCCCTTGTCCTCCGGCTTGCAGTGGGGTTCAGCCAACGGGAGGCGCCTGCTGGAGACTGGAGGAAAGAGAGCACAGGGTTTTTACGCCTCCCTTTGTCTCTGCCGGGCTGTGGCAGTGGTTGTGTTCCTCTGCTTCTGGTCAAGGCTCCTGTTGGGTAGTCCCTCTCCCACGGCTATGGTTCTCACCAGGTTCTGGCAACCTCACCCTCTTTCCTTGCCTCCTCTGGCCAGGTGGTTAATGGCTTCCCACTGTTGCTATCTCTGAATACTTCACAACCTTGTGTTGGTGTCCTTGACTTTGCCCACCTTTCTGGAATAGGCACTTCATTAAATTCTTTTCAGTTAACCTTTCGAGCGTGCCGTTTGTTTCCTGACTGAATCACGAGGCAAGGCGGCAAAGCCATACGGCTCTATATTTCTTGCCTTTACATATGTTGTTTTCTTTAACTAGAATGTCTGCTACCCTTTTCTGCCTAGCAAACTCCTATTTCTCTTTCAAGAGTCAGTTCAAAAATCATATCATATGAGAAGTCTTCCTTGTCATTGACCTCTCCCCCTCCACCTCTCGTAGGCACTCCTCTTATAATTCCATTGAACCTTTGGCACACTGCCATTATGATTATATCAATTTTCATGTGTTGATTGGATTTGCTGGTATGTCTTCTACTCAATTCAAAGCTCCTTGAGGGTCAAATATTTTTCATCTATGTTTCTAACAATCATATTGTTGGGCAAATGATGGATGTTATTTAATGTTTGTGATATTGGATTAATTAATCTTATTAGAGAGGGAAAGTGCTAAATGTTGTATGAGCCAGAGATCACTTGTGCCTCAGTTTCCAGGTTGTCAATGATCTTGAGCATTGAGATCATCCTTAAGCAAACTCATCTGTTACTTGCCTGAGACACCAAAGATCTTTGTGGGAGGGCCAGTGGGTTATATGGCACTCTCCAGCTTTTACACACCTTCATTATGCTTATTGCTGAAATCACAGCTCAGTTCAGTGACCCGAATGGTACACAAGTACCATTTGTTATGGAAGTGTGAAGGAAGTATTTTATTTACCTCCTCTTTCTTTCCATTTCTCCTGATTCCTTGTTTCTCTTCAGAACACCTAGTGGAGATATTCTCAAGTGACTATTTTATAAAAAATTTTCTCAAGGACTACTGTGCTGTATAGCCATTGACAGTAAGAAAAATCTCCCACTATCACTGGCAGGCTACGAATAATGCAGTTCATTTAAGCTGTTGTTGTTTTTTTGTTAATTTTGAGGAATAATTGATTTGTTATTGTTTTGCTACTCATCTTTGTATGTGTGAATTTAGGCAGAGGCACAGTGTCTTAAGAGAAACCTAATTAAGGCTGTTATTAGACTGAAAGCTTCAATTTACTCAGCACCAGGTCTGCGTTACTCCTCCCCACTTAATTTAACATTAATATAACTTAAAAAAACATGCTTTTGTGGTTAAAAACTCAACGTTGAAACGCTCGTACATTAGGCAGAGGCATGTCTTACACTAGGAAATACCATGTTTTCTAGCATCTTGTATTGAATTTGAAGACACATTTGGAATACAGTTGGCAAATCATGCTATAGAATAAAATTATAGCAAAGTATATGAAATATATGCTATAAAACAGCTCTTACTAATAATCAGTAAGAATAAAAGGTTTCAATATGACACCTGCCATTTCCTATATAATAACTCGGATCTCCATTTTCTATGTGTCAGTCTGGATATGACGCTAGAATTCTGATATGGTTGGGCTTCAGATTCACATATAGTTGTCCTAGGGTGCAGGGTTTTCCCTAAAGCAATTGGGCATCCCTGCTGCCAATCATTCAGGTGAAAAGACAGGCCTTCAGACTGAAAACTGGAACTTGAGACGCAGGTCTTACAGAGGTGATGAGGGAGCATCTCTCTTTTTCTGGACATTCCTCTCTTGGGTCAGGCCACTTAGGTCTCTAGAAGTTCTTGAACGTATTAGTGGGAGGTAGGGAACAGACCCTAAAAGAACTAGATAGGTAGGTCTCCCTGTAAAGAATTCAAGAATTGATGACGAGTAACATTTCTTTATAAGGAACAACATCTTGTTGAGTGTTATTTTATATCTATTTCCTTCTGGGCTTTGAAAGTCTCACTGAATGAATGGATGAGATAAAGAAAGAGAAAAAATTAGGGGAGAGGGAGATGCAAGGAAGGGAATAAGAGAAGGGAGAGAGAAATAAATGAGTCCCATCTGGTCTCAAGTGTGCTATGGGAGAATTAAGAGTTATGAGACTACCCTCTGGCAAGGCTGGTATAGGGGATACAGCACCCCCTAAATCCAGCGTGATGGTGGTGTGATGGAAGGTGAATTACGGAGAACAGGGATCAGGGTTACAAGCTCTTAGCAGCCCCTTGTCCCTCCCAAATGGAAGATCTGGTTTTGATTATAAAAGAAACCTGCTGGTTCTTTTATTCCTTGAAACCTATACTATCAGCAACTCCTATCTCATTTTCAAAGAATAGTCTCCTTTCAGATTGTTTTCTCCATCTCCTTGCCTTAACTGAAACCTGCTAGTCCCTGAGAACACAGCTTCCCCTGCAGCACGCTCATGCTGTTCATTCTCTAAGATCAGGAGGAGGTGGCTTCTGCTTCCCCAATGCCACTTTCAGATAATTATTCTTTCCCAACCCTTGTTGTAAAAAAATCTCCTGCTCCTCTGAGGCTGATGCCATCTGGCTCTATCATCTGTTGTCATCTGCCAATCACTTGGTCATTCTCCATATACTGAAGACTTGAGCATTTTGCTGTTTTTCTTTCTGTTTCAATTCCTAAATTCTCAGGGGGTCATTTTACTCACTGATTTCAACATCCATTTGGATGAGCTGTCATCTCTGTTTTTCCACTTCCTCATCTCTAATGAACTTTCCTCTCCATTCTGCTTTTCATGTCCTCTTCCTGTTTTATCATGAGAAATGTTCACTACCTTCAAAACTGCAAATTTACGATCCACTTTTTGATCAAAATCTCACAGCCCATGAGCATATTTTTACTGGGATAATTCTTTAATTTCATCAAGATTTGTAATCCACTGACCAACTCTATCACTTTCTATCCATTAATACCCTCCTATCTTTACCTCCTTCCATACCTTAGCTCTATGAGACATCATAATTGTTCTCTCGGAAATATCTCAATTCCCAAGCCCCTCTCCCTCTGTCCTATTTGCCTGGGAAAACTCTATCTCTGGATCAGTCCAGCTGTATGTTTCTGGGGAAAATCGCTCAACCAGGGAGGCTGGTGTCACTGTGAATTAATTATAACCAATTCCAAGTGGGCACTCAACACTGCCAAGGAATACTCCTGGTATCAGAAGAAACACTTCTCCATTTTTTCTCACATTTAGACTCTACCATAGAAAGAAATGGAATTTCCATTCAACCTTCCTTTCCCTACAAAAGAGAACTGGAGGAACATTTTACCCCTCTTACTAGATTTCTCCATAGAAGGAAAAATGACTGCTGTTCGGTTAGAGTGTTTCTCAGACTGGTGGACAGAATCACTGTGTGTTCAAGGTTAGTACTCTTGCACAGCATCCTTTCCCCCTCCTTTCCACTTTCTGGATCCATTATCTTGGATTGATAATTGTGAGAGGTAGGCAGGTGCCAGGTCTATGCTCATCACTGAATATCCTGCGGTTTTCAAGTGCCTGGCACATGGTGGGCACTCAATACATTCTTAGTGGGTGAGTGAATGGCTGATTTGGCAGGATCCATGAACACAGCTGTTGGGCAAATAGAAGAAATGGAAGAGAGAGTGAGGAATTTTGAGGGAAAGAGATACTAGCAGTGCAAAAAAAGAAAGGTGCCAACATTAGATCTATTAGTAGTGTGTTCTTACATTCTCATACTGGGGTCACTGAGTTACTATGAGCATGTCAGTGTTGGAGGAGGGTGGATAAATTAAATATACCTATATGCATCCTAAAGATATATCCCACGAAATTACAGTAGCTAGTAATCTCTAAAGTTTTTTGGGGGAGGACGATCTCTTAAGCAGGGGCATATTGATGAAACTTCTCCAAAGAAGACAAGTTATGGTATCTTATGCCCTCTACCAAGAAAAAGTAAGCATAATACTTGGTGGATTTTTTTGGATTTTGGAGGAAACATATAATATTTGGACCCTTTTATGCTTTTATGACCCATTAAAAGTGGGAGACCCAAAAGCTACCAGTTTTAATAGGCCTGAAAGCAAGAGAAATCCCTTTAGCTGGTTTTGCCACGTGGCCCATCAGATCTAATGGTGCCTGCCTAAAATGCCTATAGCAGACTGGGATGCTCTATCAAGCCTGGGGAAGGTTCCACTGGACTATTACAGTA